ATGACTTTAAGCAGGCTAGAAAAGGCAAGAACAAACCCCCTAAATCTCTTATAGCTAAAGATCATGAAGATACTGGTCATTTAACTGCTGGTGTTGTTGAAGATGCCCCTACAATACAAAATCGTCGAGGACGGCAGATTCGGCTACCAAAGCGTTTTCGGGATAATTAAAAGTAATCTATAGCTTCTGATTAAGCTTAGCTTATATACTCCAAAATTTTTCTATATAATTCGAATTGTGTGTGGCTCTATGGCTTCATTTGTAATGTGGTTGCTGTGTGAGAAATCGTTCGTCAGGTGGGACCGTTCGTCAGGTGATCACCTACGGTACTTACTACGTTGGGGTCTAGCCGAATACTGTCTATGAATGTGTCTTTTCATATATCAGTTAATTATGAGTTACTAGTTGAAATGCTTGTATGAGTCTTTTTACAAGTTACTTTGTTCTTCAACGGTCAACACCCGTAAAGGAGGCCCTGCGCGGCTACCATCCCCAATCTTTAAATCCCCCCTACCATCGGGCAAGCGATATCTCCATTTCTGTCGGAGAATCTCTGGAGCGCAATTTTCATAGCGGTCGGCTATATACCGGCCAAGAACGGGTAGAAACTTAAATCCACTGTGATGTTCAAGTTAGCAACATGGCATAGGAAACCATGTATGCAATTATACTTACTGTCCAGCTCCCCCGATAGCAACAAAAAGCCCATCCATATTAGGATGATGATCGACCACAAAATCTCCCTCCGGGGTGTCTGTATACCAACACAAACGACGGTTCGACCAGGGACGATCGGCGAATTGCGGCATGAGTTGCCGGAGACCATCTCGCAAAGCTTTATCCGCCTCCTGAGGAAGGAACGATTTGTCGGCGTTGTTAGAATCTAGCTTAGGCGAGGACACGGTTCGATTTGTTGCACCGGATAGTATGGACGTTGCAAATCCATAGCTGTGCCGGGCAACTTTGAGGATGTTTGTTCCTGGTGTTGGGGGGAAGCAAAATATACCATTTGTTAGGTTGATCATCACGGGCGTTCTAGCGATGCTGTGGGCCTCCTCTGGGCTAAGTTGGATAAAGCCTACAGGTTGGCCGGATGCGGATGCCGTATGGGATACATCCAGAAGCAAATTCGACCATGCACCGGTACTAAGGATGACTTGGTTTGCAGGGAGAAAGTCCCCACTTGCCACCTCCACGCCAACAACACGAGATCCCTGTTTCCGTAGTGAGAGAACTGTTCCCTGTGGACCCGTCACGAAGGATACGCCCGCATGGCTACATTTATGACTTAGATGGCGAATACTACCCTCGGCATCTGCCCAGCCCCCTTCAGGATTATGATATGCCCGAAGACTGCTGAGGTCCGCTCCGAGATCCGGATACATACCCTTCAAGATATTTCCATCCTCGAACTCATCCAATGCTCGGCCTTGGGCATGAATGATTTCCAGTGTCTTTTCAACGTATGGATTTGACGCTGTCTCAGAGAGCATCACAAACCCTGTGTGGTAGTAGTTATCTTTGTACTCAGATTTCCATCCCTTGAGAGCTTCTTGGGCCATCTGGGAATACACCGGGTCGGCATATTCGGTTCGGATGATTCGAGAAATATCAACGCTACTACTATCGGGGACTGGAGGCGGATAACGATCGAGAACCGTAATGTTCTTGTAGCCACGAGAGCTTAGTTCGAGTGCGGTTGATAGGCCAAAGACGCCTGCGCCTATGATGAGGATAGGGTCAGACTTGGAGGGGGGTCTGTGTGCCATCTTGGCTTGATAAGGTATGTGTACGAACGTTGCAGTGTTAAAATGAAAACAATTGGAGCCCACTTATGGAAGAAAAGGCATCCGGGCATAAATATAATCCCAGAAGTCTTCAGATGATATGGGTTGAAATTGACCGCCATACATCAGTGACGGAACCGGGCCGCGTCCGTCCCCACTCGAAGGGCGTGATTTTAGTCACTACCCTAATCAGAAGGTACTATTTCAAGACATTATCAGATCATAGATGGGCTCATATCCTCTTTTTGTGGGTTACGAATGATTTGTGAAGCATTTCAAATCGTTTAGTATATGGACTCGTTCATCTTGGGTTTCGACCTACAATTTAATTTCGCGATAGGAACTATTAGCTCCGTTAACCTAAGTAATAGGACAGGACACTATTTGCAGGGTACCTTCCACCATTAACATACAATTTGGAATTTTTGCCAATGACTGCTTTTCTGTAACAATTATCTTACAGACGTAGTCTAATCTTAAGGGCCATGGGGGATCTCTTGGGTAGCGATATCACAAGTCTTCTCTATTTCTCCCTTGCTCCTGATAATTAACATCATACGATCCGATGGAGGACAAATAGTCAATGCCTTTTTTTATCAACTATAGTGGGCGATTTTGAAGCATTTTCTTATAGTATCACCTACGGTAGCCTTTTTCGCTCTTATATATTGCCATAGGCTCATGTCATGCGTGTGGTGCCTCATCACTATTGTGAACGCAAGTCAGGAGTCATAACAAAGGCGGACTCTATAAAAACAATCATTAGTAGACCAATCCCTAGGAGCTTCTTAGCCTCATAAGTAGGTTTTCAGATAGTTGTTACATCTTATTTCAACCCAGCCGCGTCTCATTTATATAAGAAGCCCCTTGCGCGATCCACTTTCGGCCTAGAAATCCACTATAGCCTCCTTAGAAATTCTGGTTATAGACTTCCATCAGCTCAGAATAATGCCTGAAATTCACAAAAGTGCCTTGTTATCGAGTGGCTAGAATCCAAGAAGTCTCCATTGGTAAGCATTTTCGCAGATGTTGCGAACTAATTGAAGGGGTATGCCCTGAGGATATTTATTCGTGTTTACACTAGTTCCCTACGAATGGAGATATATATACATACACACGGATCAGATCGGATGCCCTAGACTCCCATATACTTAAAGAAGACATTGTACGGCGCTCTAAAGAGTAAAACCATAGTCACTAATGTATCATAAAACCCTCGATAAGAGGAAGCATAGTGAATTACAGGAAGATATAGAGGAGGCTGATAGAGCCCCTAGGGACCATTTAGAGGCGGTGGCCTAAGCCACTGCCTAGGCACATGTGTCTGTCATAGCCAACGGCTCGACACAGACGTTAAACTTGATTAATAATAATAATAATACAGGAAGATATGTGAATCCTCTAAACGGGTTTAGCGCCATCTATACGGCCACGCTAGTCCACTTTCGCATTTAATATCAGGTGATCCCACTTAGTCAGCGGCAGTCCCGCCGCCGAAACGTCGAACTCGAACTCGACCTCGCGCTGAAGGTATTTTCATCGTCATAGGCATCAACACATTGCACCGTACATCATCCCCTCGAGCGCCGTGATCACAGGGTATGATCCGGATGTAGCTATTTTTGCCCATCCCTGGGATTATTTTTTCTCTATCTGATCTCTGATCGACCCTGTACTGTCACCATGTCTGACTGTATGTTTTCCCCCCATCGGTTCACCGCGTGGCTAACCACTTTTACAGCCGATTTCGAAGCCGTTCGGAGGCTCCAAGCTGAGCGGAATGCCGCTGCAGCTGGAAGTAAAGGTTCTAGGACCTTTGATCCGTCTAGCCAGCGCACTGACAACTCGACCAAGGCCTCCCTGAGTGAAACCTTCGACACCACCCTTTACGATCGCGAAGGCGCCGACAGGTATGCGGGCTACGACACTTCGATCGCCGTCAATGGCGATGACGAGGAGATGGAGGATGCGGAAGGTGGTCACCGTCTAGTGGGACAGTATACCGCAACCAAGAGTCAGATGGATGAATTCGCCCACGGTAATGGAGTGGAGGAAGAGGACATCCTTCTCGGTCGTGAGAAGGCGGCTAGAATCGCAGACCGCGAGACGGACTACCAAAAGCGCCGATTCAACCGTGGCCCTCTGACCCCCACCAGAGCGGATCCTTTCGCCGCAAATACTCATGCGAACGTTGAGGGAGAGGGTCAGACGTATCGTGAAGTCATGGCTCTGCGTGAGCTTGAAAAAGAAGAAGAGCGTGTTCAGAAGCTGATCTCAGAGAAGCAGGCCAGTGGCGAGAACGGTATCGCAGAACATGAGGCCACGTTGACGTTGGAGGACAAAGAAAACGCAGATGCTGGCTCGACCGTCTCCGTCGCTACGGGACGCAAGCGCAAGCAACGATGGGATGTGGGTTCTGAGTCGACTGAAGCAGCTCCTGAGGCTTCTCAGCCCCAGGAGGCAAAGAGCAAGAAATCGCGCTGGGATCAAACACCCGCGCCGGGTGCCACCGATGAAGCACCTAAACGTCGGTCGCGGTGGGATCAGGCACCAGCTATCGCGGCCGCCACCCCTGTTGGCAACCAGGGCCTCGCAACCCCCATGCATCCTTCACAAGTAGGTGCGCCAATGATGCCGACCAGTTTTGGAACTGATATCTCCGCCCGCAATGCCCCCTTCTCGGATGAGGAACTTGATATGATGCTCCCGGGCGAGGCCGATGGCTACAAGATCCTTGATCCTCCTCCAGGATACGCTCCGATCCGGAACCCTGCAAGGAAACTTATGTCGACCCCAGCTCCCATGGCCAGCGCAACTGGTGTTGGAGGCTTCATGATGCAAGAACCCGAAAGCGCCCGTGCCTTAGGCAAGCAGCTCCCAACAGAAATTCCAGGAGTCGGAGATCTTCAGTTCTTCAAGCCCGAGGATATGGCATATTTCGGAAAGCTTATGGAAGGCGGAGATGAGAGTGTGATGTCTGTGGACGAACTGAAGGAGCGGAAGATTATGAGGCTGCTGTTGAAGGTCAAGAACGGTACACCACCGATGAGGAAAACTGCCCTGCGTCAACTCACAGACAACGCGCGCCAGTTCGGGGCCGGCCCCTTGTTTAATCAGATCCTTCCGTTGCTCATGGAGAAGTCACTTGAGGACCAAGAGCGCCACTTGTTGGTGAAGGTTATCGATCGTGTTCTCTATAAGCTGGACGATCTTGTCCGTCCCTACGTGCATAAGATTCTCGTCGTCATTGAACCTTTACTCATTGACCAGGATTATTATGCCCGCGTTGAGGGTAGGGAGATCATTTCTAATCTTGCTAAGGCTGCCGGTCTTGCTACCATGATTAGTACGATGCGTCCCGATATCGATCATGTTGATGAATATGTCAGAAACACAACGGCACGAGCCTTCGCTGTGGTCGCTTCAGCGCTTGGTATCCCCGCTCTACTTCCATTCCTGCGTGCTGTGTGTCGCAGTAAGAAATCTTGGCAAGCAAGACACACTGGGGTCAAGATTGTCCAGCAAATCCCTATCCTCATGGGCTGTGCCATCCTTCCTCATCTGAAGGGTCTCGTGGATTGTATTGCCGACAATCTCAGCGATGAACAAGCGAAGGTCAGAACGGTCACTGCATTAGCAGTAGCGGCCTTGGCCGAGGCCGCTAACCCTTACGGTATCGAAAGTTTCGATGAGATTCTCAATCCTCTCTGGACGGGAGCAAGGAAGCAGCGTGGCAAAGGTCTGGCTGCCTTCCTTAAAGCTGTCGGATATATCATTCCTCTCATGGACGAGGAGTATGCCAATTACTATACTAGTCAAATCATGGAGATCCTGCTGCGCGAGTTCTCCTCTCCGGATGAGGAGATGAAGAAGGTTGTCCTCAAAGTGGTGTCTCAGTGTGCCAGCACTGATGGTGTGACAGCCAGCTATCTGAAAGAGCACGTTTTGACCGACTTCTTTAAGAGCTTCTGGGTAAGGCGTATGGCACTCGACAGGAGGAACTACCGCCAAGTTGTTGATACTACCGTCGATCTGGGCCAAAAGGTTGGTGTGGGTGAGATCCTCGAGCGCGTCGTCAACAATCTGAAGGATGAGAGCGAACCTTACCGGAAGATGACGGTGGAAACTGTAGAGAAACTTATTGCATCCCTGGGAGCCGCAGATATCTCCGAGAGGTTGGAAGAGAGGCTCATTGATGGTGTACTCTATGCCTTCCAGGAGCAGAGCATCGAGGATATCGTAATCTTGAACGGATTTGGAACTGTGGTTAATGCGCTTGGTACTCGTTGCAAGCCGTATCTGCCACAGATCGTCAGTACCATTCTTTGGAGGCTGAACAACAAGTCAGCCACCGTCCGTCAGCAAGCTGCAGACCTCATCTCACGCATTGCAATGGTTATGAAGCAGTGCGGCGAGGATGCACTGATGGGTAAACTCGGTATTGTGCTCTACGAGTATCTGGGCGAAGAGTACCCTGAAGTCCTTGGTTCGATTCTGGGCGCTCTACGTTCCATCGTCACCGTGGTCGGTATCAACCAGATGCAACCGCCTATTAGAGACCTCCTTCCTCGTCTTACACCCATTCTGCGGAACCGACATGAAAAGGTGCAGGAAAACACCATCGATCTTGTTGGTCGTATTGCAGACCGTGGTCCCGAGTCTGTCAATGCTCGCGAGTGGATGCGTATTTGCTTCGAGCTGCTTGACATGTTGAAAGCACACAAGAAGGGCATCCGTCGTGCAGCAAACAACACTTTCGGCTTCATCGCCAAGGCAATTGGCCCTCAGGATGTTCTGGCAACTTTGCTTAACAACTTACGTGTGCAGGAACGTCAGTCTCGTGTTTGTACTGCTGTTGCCATTGGTATCGTGGCTGAAACCTGCGCACCATTTACTGTCCTTCCAGCTCTGATGAATGAATACCGGGTACCGGAATTGAACGTTCAAAACGGTGTGTTGAAGGCAATGTCGTTCTTGTTCGAGTACATTGGTGAGATGGCCAAGGATTACGTCTATGCTGTTACGCCCCTTCTTGAGGATGCCCTCATCGATAGAGATCAGGTGCATCGCCAGACCGCCGCCAGCGTTGTGAAGCACATTGCTTTAGGGGTGGTCGGTCTCGGGTGTGAGGATGCAATGGTTCATCTTCTCAATTTGGTATTCCCTAATATCTTCGAAACAAGTCCTCACGTTATTGACCGTGTCATCGAAGCCATTGATGCCATTCGAATGGCCGTTGGCACGGGAGTTGTCATGAACTACGTCTGGGCAGGCCTGTTCCACCCTGCCCGTAAAGTCCGCACGCCATACTGGCGGCTTTACAACGATGCTTATGTGCAAAGCGCGGATGCAATGATTCCATATTATCCTACAATGGAAGAGGATGGCGTGGAGAGGCCTGAATTGTCCATAATAGTTTAACAAAAGCGACTTGCTTTTTCATGTATTCATCCACCTTTTTTAAGTGTTCAATGCTTTTTCGCTGGCATTATGGGACCTGTTTAATCGCGCATGGTGTTCTTGATGGTGGGATTGGCGTGTATTTATTCTCCTGGAGCCAAATATCAGATATAGGAAATGACATTGCGTGTTTTCTGCCAGTCACCGAGCTCATCGGCACTTTAGGGTAAATCATACTAATGGTCGGACATCCGATGCCATTTCTTGCTCCCCCGCATTTCAAGGTGGGTGCTCGGCAGAGCTCCGCGGCGACGAGTCATGTCAACTACTCGGCTATATATATCAAAGGTAGTGAGAAGCTTGCGGAAGACATCTATTGTGAACTCACTGAAATTTCTTCCGCAACGATGACTCTCCCCTCACACTGCGGCGTCCTTGTTATCGGTGGCGGCAATGCTGGCTTCTGCGCCGCTATATCAGCAGCTCAATCCGGCGCCCAGAGGGTGGTTGTCATTGATAAATGTCCAGAAGAATGGGTCGGTGGGAACTCCTACTTCACTGCGGGAGGATTCCGGACTACCCATGGCGGACTGGAGGATCTCCTCCCCATTGTGAATAATGTGGTTCCGACTACAGCGCACAAGATTGATATGAGCCCTTACACGACGGCGGACTTCACCAATGATATGGAGCGTGTGGCCGGAAAAAGGACTGGCCGTGAGCTCTGCCGTGTTCTCGTGAATGATTCAAATGCGACAATCAAGTGGCTTGCGGAGAATGGCGTCCGGTTCCAGCTTTCCTTCAATCGACAAGCGTATGAGGTCAACGGCCGAATCAAGTTCTGGGGAGGCTTGGCCCTCAAAACTCAGGATGGAGGCAAAGGGCTTGTGCAAGACCATCTCCAGGCGTCCCGGAGTCTGGGTATCGATGTATTCTTTTCGACGGCTGCCGAGAAGCTCATCACTGATCCAGTAACCCGGGCTGTAACGTCGGTTGTGGTTGTGCATCGTGGTCGAACGAAGGAAATCCAGACGAACGCCGTTGTACTCGCCGCGGGGGGCTTCGAGGCCAATCCTCGCATGCGCGCACAGTTTCTCGGACCACATTGGGATGCGGCTTTGGTCCGGGGCACCCCGTATAATCTGGGTGACTGTCTCGAGATTGCCATTCGCGATGTGTCAGCCAAATTAGTTGGCAACTGGTCCGGCTGTCATTGTGTGGCGTGGGATGCAGATGCGCCGGCCAATACAGGCGATCGCGAGATCTCCAATGAGTTTACCAAGTCCGGGTACCCCTTAGGGATCATGGTCAATCAACAAGGCTCACGGTTTGTCGACGAAGGCTCGGATCTACGCAATTATACGTATGCCAAGATCGGACGGCAGATCCTGCATCAACCCGGTCATGTTGCGTTCCAAATCTGGGACTCCCGAACGGTCTCCTGGCTACGGAAGGAAGAATATCGACCAGAGGTGGTTCAGCACATAACGGCGTCGTCGATTTCAAAGCTGGCTGAGAAATGCGCGGTGGAACACGGTCTGGAAGACAAGCATCGGTTTGAAAGGACGATCCACGGATACAACAACGCTGTCTATGAAAGTCAACGACGGAACCCGGACCGACAGTGGGATCCAGCCGTGAAGGACGGCCTTTCAACTCAATCTGAGGCATGTTCGCTTGAAATTCCCAAGTCCAATTGGGCACTGCCTATCGATCAGCCTCCGTTCCTAGCAGTTAAGGTCAGCGCGGGTATCACCTTCACATTTGGCGGTTTGGCCATCAATCCGGAGACAGCTGCTGTCGTCTCGTCCAGGACAGACCGAGAAATCCCCGGGCTGTACTGCGCTGGGGAGATGGTTGGGGGGCTCTTCTACGACAATTACCCTGGAGGTAGTGGGTTGACGTCCGGGGCAGTCTTTGGACGAAGGGCAGGACGAGCTGCAGCGAGGGCTTCTGCAGAGGCTGCACGATGATATTCTTCCATGCAGAGACAGGGATATCGGTCGATTGATGTCAGATGCTACACTTAACCGGTTCTCTCTCGGTACTACGTGGTACTACCATCCGTACTACCATGATATTAGACTTGGTAAACGGTGCAGGTTAATCTAAGGCCTACCGTTTAATGAAGTAAGCAACCCTTCTACGGGTATGTCTCACCGCAGCCGTTTTTAGATATTCTAAAAACTTATTTTTGTGTCGGTCTTATTGATGAGGCATACGTATGGGTCTCAGATTGATCAGGATATATATCTGGCGAGCAATATACTGTTCCGCGTCCAGACCGGGTAAATATCGGATCACACTGCAGGGTCGAGTGTGGTTCAATTTCTAGGGTAATTACCGCACACGGGAAGTATATCAGTATGTTTGGCACTGATCTGATATATGGTCTACGGATATTCTCTCGCAATTTTGCTGTATAGTGTACGTATAAGTGTGAGAGGGAAGTTAGAGATGCTTACATAATCCGTAGGGCAACAATCGACATTATATAGAAATAGAGATGTATAGTATGCCAGTATAGAATGGATGTATGATATGCCGTCGTTGTACCACCTGCAAACTCAATCCAGTCTCATTGTAACCCTCCCTGACCTCGGAACAAGAAATAAGCATCCATCCCAGAAAAATCACTAAAAACGACAACCAAAGCGAGAGGATGATTTGCCACATGCTGGCGATGCCAAGCATTCGCCCTGCAGGCGTCGAGGATTGTGCCGCGTAAGCCTTCTCCATCGCCGATGTCATGTGCGGGCTTGGCGGCAGGGATCTGTGGGGGAACCCCAGCCAATCCCGTGACGGCCCAACATTCCTTCTCAACCGGCTGGTCATTCGTCTCTCTTGTATACTTAAGTATCAGGTAGGTTGTCCCTCCGGCCTTCTGACTGGTTCGGAGAGGTCCTGGTCAACTTGTAGGACCGGACCCTGGATGAGGAATCAGAATGTCTTGTGAGGTATTTTTATTTTATTTTGTTTTATTTAAATCCGTCCCATTCTATTTTATTTTATTTAGAAATCTTCTTAGATTAAAATCAGAAGTGGGTTGTTGTTTGAGGTGGTTTGTAGATACTAGTTACCTAGTTTGGTGTTGCACTTGGTTGAATGAGGGTTAGTAAGGGTCCTCCATGGACGCTCGAGCGTCAACTCACTAAATTGAGGGTTGCACTTGTTTTCCCTTCTTTCTCTTTGTAAATTTTTATTATCATAATTTATTTATTTTATTTATAATTTTTTTTTTCTTTTTGGAATTGGAATTGGAATTGGAATTGGAATTTTCGGATTGAGGCTAGGAAAGTCTGGGAAAGTGGACTCTGACTGGCTCGGAAGAGTTCATGAAGCTGGACGAACGACTCTTCTATACTGATCGGACTATAGGTATTCGATATCCTTTCGATTGGGGGCGACATTGGATCAATCAGATAAAACCAAATGAGTAGAAACAATCATATCAAATAACCCTCCGGCACAGAACGAGAACACCCAATTACCGATACATCTATCATTATCTACAATGCAGATAATACCCCTGCATCCTTCTCCCTTTTTTTTTTCCCACCTTACCTGACCTCCGGACATGCACCACCCCCTGTCTGTCCCTTGATAGGGTCAAATCTCATGGAAATTATTTCCTTCATGTGGGTTTTTTCCTTCTTCTCAATTTCCCTGTTTCTAGTCGTCAGGGGAGGGTCGGGAACTCCGAACAGGAAATAAAAGGGTATACTCCATAGACGAACCTCTTTTCTTATCCCGTCTTTGGCAATTACGACAGCAACTAGAAATTAGTTGTAGTAGTAGCAGTTTAAAATAGAATAAGTCGTCAACGTCCAACCGATGATGAATATCCCCGTGGCACTCGTCATCGTTCAACGACGTGGAGTTGGGAGTTAGAGAGAGTAGGCACGGAGAGTATACAGTACCTGCATTGCCCCTCGGTTCATGTGAGAGATCAGGTACCGAATGTCACTTTGCGCGTTCAGGCAATTCGTATCTGCAATTTATCCAGCTTAGCTTCGTATCTAGATACTCCAAACCGCATAGCATCATTCCTTGAACACTATATTTTTTTCCCGTCTCCAGTATATCGACCCATCCGGAAGGATCATCTCTACAACGTGAAATTCTCCATAAGATCCATAAGATACTCAGGCACATTGCCACCAATTTCTATTCTCGTCCATGTCAACTTACCCAGCTGCCCCTTCGAGTTAGTGCTAGATGCAGGGACTGCCATCCTTACTACCTTGCAGTCGTAAGCTCAACGCTTTGATCAATGCCTGCCTCGATCATTTGCATGTCAGGGTGTGCCATCCAAAGGGAGGCGGACGAGGGAAAACTAAACTAAACTGCAAGGTGATACCACTCTACGCAATCACTCAATCTATTCCAACGAGTAGATTCACACGTTTAGGAATCCTGTATGTGGGTTTCAGTTTAGGTGTGGTTTCATGCTGAAATCCTCTCCCACTTCTCTCTTTCCTCCTCCCCCCCTCCCTTACCTTGAAGGGCCACACAGCACATGCCGCCCAGGGATTGCATGTCCGTCGCCGCCATTGACATACGCCAAGCCCGCGGGGCTCCACTTTCTGCACACTAGATGTTGTTTTCCCGTTGGGGATCACGCCCAAGGCTGCTGCCAGGTGAAGCTTGTTCAAGGGTCCTGGGTTATACAATGACTCGTTGTTGAACAAGAAAGGCGTGAGTTTTGGTCGAGGGTAGGTTACGAGATGTTAAAGCCCGAGATCTCGAATCTATAGTGTGGGGTGTTTGTTATCAAACTGAATACCTCCATCAACCAGCCGCAAGGGAAAGCACACAAAACACAAAACACAAAACATAAGATAATAATAATAAAAATAAATAAAAATTCATTTCTGAAGAATAGAAAACAGGGATGCCCCTGAGACCTACGTAATGCTACTTTATCCATCGGAACCATAGAGAATAACAATAGGGGACCAACAAGGATAATAATATCATGTCGTTCTATGACAATCGGAATCCTTGCTAACGTCTCCCCCCCTTCTTCCCATGGCAGCCCAATCTGACGGTTAGGACCAAGTGATATCATGCGCGATATCAACTCCAGTTAGAGTGCTGTTCTTGAAAGAGGGTAGTCTGGTTGACCAGCGCGTTTCATCTGACTACTAGCCGCAACCCTGAGTGGCAGTGTTGTGGAGCCCAAGCCAGGATCGCACGCAGGGATTCAGGGTAACGGGCTGCGGGGGAGCGTGCTTTGGGACTCATTTAACGAGTCAGAAGAAGTTGATATTTGTTCATCTAGTCATTTTGGTTTATTTGGGAGGGTGGGCAAGGTGGATTAGAGATGGCCTGAATTTCCAACACCATCCCAGGACCTAAAAAGATCTAACCAAACCCATTTTCTCCAAAAGTAAAGGGAAAAAGTAAAAACATCCAAACCAAGCCTAAAGAAGGAAAGCTTCCTCCAAAATGGGGAAAGCTCCGTGAGATGTGCACGCGTCAGCTCCTGTGGGTCGGACCCCTCTGATTGGGTTATCTGTTTGAGCCAAGCTCGGCTATCGACTATCTGCCGTCCTTGGGGGCATGTGGCTGCATCACCTTTGTCTTTCCTTAAAAATGAATCCATGCCTCGCACCAATGGAAACTTTTTCTCTTTGGCAGTGCTCCACACCCGCACTCTGCCTCTTTGGGCCATAGTAATTCCCCTTCCAGGATGGTGCTAACCATTGGGGATCGGATACTGCATTGATTTGGCTAGTTTACTTCTTCCTAGCTTACTTGCACTTAGCATCCTCTTTAGAGAAGCTTTAGCTTGATACTTATCTTGTTCACCTACTAAAGTGGACTAGTATCTACCGAGTAAGTAAGTTGGTCATCGGGAATAGGGACCAATTGGGAGACATCAATTTCCCCTAGCGGAATGCGCGTAGGCATCCCCTACCCTTTTGGGACGTACCGACCTTTTTTTTTCTCTTTGACTTCTTCAAGATGGTCAGAATTTTGGAGGGAAACACACCCACGCGGGAGCGACCCAGATTGTAGGTTACAATATGCAATTTCCCCCCCGGGTCTCTGGACACTACGAACAGGTTGGTCCATTGGATGGGGCTTTTATTTCTCTTTTGTTTTTTTCCCCCTCTCATGGTTTATACAGTGTCTATTAGCTTGGCACGTCGACTGGTTTCGTTCTCCGGCCTTTCGGGGACCTGACTTCGCGCGGGTCGTGATCCGTACCCCGTCGAACTCCAAGATACTAGGTTTCCCAGTCCATGGAACGCATTAATTCTGGAATCAAGGTACGATACGATTAGTAAGTAGTACCTGGACTTTCTTGTTTGTTCCAATGTACCAGTCTGCAAATCATTCACCCACATACATATCATACAAATCGTACACGACATACATATACCACAGCCTATTATGTCCAGGGTATCTAAACAATGTATTATAACTTCCCACCCCCTTACTACCTAGGTAGTATGTACCCTAAGTTCTCACGTACCGAAATCACGAACGCCAATCATGATGATCTGCCGAATGGATCTGCCAAGATGGACCCCGTGCAGATGACAGATGTTTAAGATTTTTTAATTTCCAGCCTGTTTTATTTAACCACGCAAATTAAAGTATCGGGGATCATCTGTTCCTGAAGACCTCGATCTCGTCCTTAGGCTTTCTGGAATGAAAATTGCCGATGGGCTGGGTTTATCTGCCGAGATTTTTGTATTTTTTTGTGTCCTTTTACTTTCGTTAGGTTCGTGTTGGATGTATGGAGTATGTGGTACGTACTTGAGAGTGTTGGTTATGTATTGTGGACTCAGCTGTTTGCTCAAAAGGTCTTTAACAAGACGGAATATATATCCACCAAGTTTCTTCTCCGTACTCTAGAGGGAGTAGTCACACGGGCAAATACGGAATGAGGAAAGCAGTGCTTACTCGGAGCACGGAGTCCTAGGTCTACGAAAGTACTATCCAGCAAGACCAAAGGGAAGCGAAATTAACTGACCTAAATATAACAACGACCGCTGTCAACGAGATGATGATAGTTCAGCTAAGTCAGTCAGTGCTCTTGCACACTCCATCCATAGTTCACTCACTCAACACCTCAAGCTGTAGCAAAAAAGCCCGCATAGACCACCAAAAAACTACAATACCTACTCCATCGCGACCCATCCACTCGCCCCCCATCCACAAGAGCAACACCAAAAAAAAAGTATCAAAGGCCAAACATAGGGTTCCGGCAACACCAAAATACCAATAACATCAACTAATCAAGCATTGAGGCACAAGCCACGCCCCCATCCCCCCCATCCTATCCCGCACCGAACTGAACTTTGAAGGGTCAGTACTGATCCAAAGCGGCAAGCATTGCGGATAGTGAAAAGTAAAAGCAACTCGATACGAGTTGGACCTTTCTTTTCCGACGAATGAGCCCCCCCACCGGGTTACTGAATCGGGGACCCCCGCAGCGAAAAAGGGAATAGTGGTGGATTTTGCAAAAAAAGAGGGTGGGGTCGTGATTCGCTAGGGGAGGCGTTACGCGTTTTTGATGTGCCGCGTCAAGGGGGGCACTTTAGATTCACCTGCCAAGATAGGCTTAGGTGGGTTGTTAATGTTATCCCTGGTCGAAGTGGAGCCCGGGAAGGGAAAAGTTTAAGGGCCCATGAACGGCATCCTTTTTGCCCCAAGGGCTAGCTAGGCTGTTTTGGGGAGGGTCTAAGGACTGAGTGAGTTTTTGGTAGGTGAGACTAGTACTAGTAGTAAAGGGGGAGAAGAGACTTGGAGGCCATGAGTGGGAGGGAGGATGACAGGAAAAGCGGTGAAAGTTGAATTGAATGGCTGACGCTCCAAAATTTTGGCTTTGCAAACAAGTCCCAAAGCGGGTCCTAGGCGGTCAAAAGAGGGCAAATCAGCAGAAATCAATCTGAATCTGTCACCAAATACTATGGTTAAAAGTCAGAACTCTGAATCATATTAGATGTGGTTTTTATGGACCCTTTTTTTTTTTTTTTTTTTTTTTTTTTGAATTGTAGTACTTACATGGTATCTGGGTTAGGATAATGGTACTTGCTCTTCTCCTTGTAATCTCCATCAATTTTTTAAAAATGAAAACATCCACCTTCCATGAGTTACTAACCATGCTTTTTCCCGCGGGTTTACGCAATACATCTCCGCTTGGACCTCTTCTCATCGCGGAATTCCCTGCGACTTCGGGACTCCTATTCTGGCCATCTCCGTTCCTGGTCATCGATCATGGCTGCTGTGGAGCTGGCTACTTTAGCCACGAGATTCAAGAAAAAAATTTTTTCTCAAAAAAAAAAATTAAACTGCACTAAAATAAACCAATGCCATCATATGGCAGGTATCCCGCATGCTAAGATTTTCTGGGAGAAATGTGGATATTTGCCTTCCAAAATGGGATATCCATTGCCAAGGGACATACACGCAAACTCCCCTGGATATCGATTATATTTAGAATCACATCGTTTCGTTTTGGTGGTTATCATTCTCGATCAAGGTAAGTGTTCTGACCATCATAATAACAATGGGTTCGTGGGTGCGGCTCATAGCCTACTATCCTCGTAACGGTTTTCTTTACTATGGGGTGCAATATCTGAAGGATCCAGGCGATATGCGATAGTGGTGGCTCTTTGACTTTGGAAGGTATATCGGCATACAACTGGGAGGTTAGGGGTGTGGCTTCGGATACAGATCCAGCCTCTCACACCCGAAGTATGTCCTGGATAGGGTCAGTTAATTGAAGCTACAGGGGTACAGTCTGCAGACGGGGGTTAGCAGTGTGATCTATCCTAGTTTCTTCCTTCTCCCTCAAACTACTGGAATCTAGTCCAATAGATTGCACTGTGGCTATTATAAAAAAAAAATTTACGGAGTCCTCGAGGATGAGATCTTACTCCCCAACCCGTTCATCTCCAATCATTTGCATCGTATGTACAATAAACCAAAACACCATAGAGGGGCCAATGGACACTGCAGCGTTCCAATGATTTTCGCTTTTTAATTTAAAGTAGCTGAGGTTCCTCATAACCTTACTGGACTAGCGCCCACTACATTATACACTTACCCTCACTACGCAACTAGCCAGCACACTGAAGAAAATCGAGATGAAAATCCTCAAGCTTGACTCCACGCTAACAGTTACCACTGAATCATTGCACGATCTAACTATACGTTTGTCCTCCTTCCTCACAACATAGGCTAACCTCCTCACATGGCGTACCTCGTGCCAGCCGTGTGGACTTTATTGACCCACGTTTGCTGTGCCTCTGGAAATCCCCAATTGATCCGCCGTTACCATTGGATGGAAGGATTGCTTTCTGTGGATAGGTTCCCCCTATTGTTTGGAGGATTTTTGCCTTTCTTTTTTTTTCTTTTTCTTTGATCAAGGATCGACCTCAATTTGTGATCTTTATTCCCACTACAGACTATAGACTACCTACCATACATACTGAACTACTACCTACTAGTACTGTGTTAGGTACGTACATAGATTAACTACTCCGGACCCCTCCGATCACCGGTCGCGGAGAACATCTCCAGCCTATGGAGAACCGACCCATGCACCCTGTCCTATAGATTAATGCAGCGATGGACTGAGCGACAGGGGAAAAAAAGCCAGGAAAAAAAAGAAAACGAAAAAGCGGATCCATGCATCGACACTGATCCGTTTTCTTTCGCTTGGAGAGGAAACTTTAACTAAGCTAGTCGATGAGTTGTGCCTATCAGATTGGACGTGGATGAGCGCCCCAGCCGAGCGGTTGCAGATGTCAATTATTAATTTATTTCCTCTTTCCTTTCTTTTTTTCTCCCTTTCTTTTGTCTTACCCACTTGACATGTTTCTTGTAACTGGAGGTTTCCTTGGGAAGAGTTGTAAATTTTTGATGCTGCGTTAATGGGAGGGATTTTTCTTGGGTGTTCATATATTTGATAGGTAGAGAGGTACTATTGATTTGGAGTAATAGTGTTTTTGGAATTTATATTAATTGGTTGATTTTTTCTTTTCTTTTCTTTTCTCTTTTTTATGTTTTCTGTTTTCCGTTTTCCAATGGCTCGAGTCATATGGTATTGAGAGAGGTCCAAGGTTGTGGCGAAAAGGTTCTGTTTCGTAAAGCGGGAAACTATGGAAATCCCCCCGCGCTTATCGGAGTTGCGCCGAAATCTCGAAAGACCTAAAAAAACAAAAACATAAACTACAAGCAATGGATTATTTCCCGATGGATCTTCAAGATAGCATTTGGGGGTTGCAGTAGCTGCAGATTTTTCTAGAGCTATGCCTTATGATTGTCAATGATTTTCTGTGCTTCTAGATCTTCTTTCGCGGGTTGGGGCTATCTGATGGATTGTGGAAGAAAGGTGAAGACTTATGGTTTATCTCGGATTCTTTTCCAGTCCATATGGAAACATTATACCGTCCGGCAATCTATGATTGAATTTACTTTTGATCGCAGCCACTGTGACAGGGGGTTCCACGGTCGAGCCCCAGGTATTCCTCGGGTTGCCAAAATGCCTACGCTTTGATAACACGGGCCTGAATGTTTTTCTCCTGCGAGATGTAGGGGCTTTGTCCTATTTCGCACAATGTCATCGTTTAGACAATTGTCGTGGAGTAATCTTCATTTTCTCATTAGTATAATTGCTAGAGGTGTAGGGCCATTAGCGAACGACTAACCTCCCCACACCGACGTCAGAGCGGCATAGGAAAACCCACTAGTAACATGATAGGACATATCACACGCAAGTTGACATCCGCTTTGAACCTCCCCTTCTGTCCAGAAAGAAGCATAGTGGTGTGGACTTGCAGGGCTAAGAAGAATGGTATCATCGGTGGCTGTTCTCCTCTTCCATCACTGTACGTAAGGATGGTTGGGTTGGGATATATTCTGTACGTAGTATGTATGTATGTATGTATGTGTATGTACAATGACGCGCCTAAGGTCGCCTACCTCGGGAATTTCACCACGATCTCATCCCGTACATTGGGAAATGACGATATTGGAGAACACGCGAGAGAGCATGATCTCTGCAGAAGAAAAGTATCGGGTGTAACTCGTGTCGTCATTGTGCAGGGGAAATTTTTTCAATATTATCTATCTATCTGTGAGAATTTATAATTTTGTTTTAATTATTTTTTATATTTTTCGCACTTCGTTGTTTACCCCTCCCCTCTTTCTTTACTATCACTCAACGCTTGTACATATGGAGTATATTCCGAATGGATGATTCATGTATTCAAACAGAGTTCATGTGTGTGTCCGTGTCCGACGACCACATCACCTCCGAGATCCAACGTAGACACGGATGTTACTCCAACCGACTCATGAGTAGGTCACAGTAAAAAAGACTACTACCATATTCGACTTAATTCATCGTGTGCATACTCCCCTCAGTTTAACCCCCCGCCCCCTCGATACAGCTTCGGGAGTCATAGAAGCAAGGTTTACACCTTTCTATAGGCGCATGCTGCCAAAAAGAATGGAGTACGCGGCCGGCATTCGCAGAATGAACTGTAGAGGTAGAGATGTCTGTGAGAGGGGGAGAAGAATGGGAATGTATGTCCAAGCTCCTAACAGTTATGCAGCTCTCTACTAAGTATCTGTATGCACGTGCTCCATACCGAAGGACATGCCACTACAGGATCTCGCAGAGTAGCCTCAGTAACTCAAAGATACCAGCAAGGTGGATGAACATAGTTTTGAGTAATATACCAGTATTACCGCCGTCCTGCAGCCAGCAGCACACATGCACTGTAGGTTGCCAGGAGGGCCAAGTCATCAACCATCCCATCCTCCCCGACGAAACAGGCCAATCGTTGGGCGGGAGGACTCGGAACTGGAGTTCTTGGCCTTCAACTTGATTGTGTGATGGTCTGCTGAGGAATGCGGGCACTGGGATCTTTAGCACTGTTTGGAGATGTATTTTGTTATTTTCCTTTGCTTATGTGATATTTGAACTATTCTTTAATAGTAAAGATGGGATATTTGAGTCTACTATTCTTCCTTGATGCTGATTATTGTAATATCAGTAGAATGTTGGAGTACATATGGATTCATGACAATACAGTATGAGTGGGTACTGTTTTCTTGGGAATGGATGGGAAGAGGGAAAAATTTCTCAAAAGGAAAAAGGGACCGATTTTAATCAATCAGAGTCGAGGAAGTGGAGTGCCTAAGGGGTCCACCGTCACCACTACCACTACTTTTCTCACTGGGAGCTTTTTTATCTCCAGTCGGCCAGCGAGGAAGTCTCCCCCACGGAACGGGTATACCCTTTGACGCATCTTTTGTGATCTCCCTCTTCCCCGCTACCTTGAAACACACCCAACTCTCAAGGGCTCACGGCGAACCTTGGTCGCTGCATCTAAGCTCAGGTCTTGGCGTTGCCTACCCAGTGGATTTCTTTTCTTTCCCTTTACCCTTTTCCTTTTTTTTTTTTGACCCTTTCTGAGTCTCTCTCTGGCCACGCTTTCCTCCTTTAGTGCTGGTTGCCCCCTCTAGACACACTACTTGCTAGAGACACGGCACAACACTCCAGTCTCCCCCGCTCCCCCTTTACACTCAACATTCAACATTGGCTGTGAGGGAGGGAGCTTCTTCCTTCGTGCTAGACTCTTCGACCTCTCTTGCATTCAGCCTACCGCCCCTGATGATTATTCGCGCACACACACACACGCATCAGAGAGAGAACGGGAGGGAAAAAAAGCATGGAAGTACTATGTGACATACGGTGTACGTATGCGTGTAGGGACTCCATACCTATCCTCCTAAGAGGGTATCTGTAGTTTTAGCCAAAAAGGTTTTCTTCATTTTTATTTTACTTTATTTGAATTTCCTTCTCCGTACTCTTCTCTACTCTGTCTCTCTTTTGCGCGGAAAACCCACATCTGTCCCTCTCTCTATTTCTCCCCTCCTCCTTTTTAATCATTTTTTTTTGTTTAAATTTTTGTGCTTACTCCATAGTAAACTTGAATTTCGATTCTATTTTATCTAATTGATTTGATTCGATCCCGTCCCTTCGTTCCTTTTTCTGGTTCCCGTCCTGTATGGCTGACCAAACATCACCGATACATTTCGTTTTCATTTAGTTAGGGATGATGTTATTACAGCTGACGCACAGCCTATAGAAAGGCATAGTATAGTCTTCTTTCCCGATGCCGGAGTTTCAGATGTCTTCCTTTCCCCCCAATAACCCTGGGCCTCTCTCCCCTGCTTCCGTATTTGATTAAGAGGAGTCTTGGGGGGTTGGGGCTTGGCTTTCCTCAGTAGTTAATTTATCGCGATTTGTCATGAATCTTAGTCTGGAAGGGTTTCTGAAACAGATGACTCTTAAGTCTAAAATCTGTTTAATCTTAAAATTGAATGATTAGAATGGATCATAAAACGCTATTGCAATGGATATTATATTATGAGGCGTGTGGTTTGAATGCGTGATGGATATTTCAAGGAGTAAAAATAGAAAATAAGCAATGGGAGTTAATTTCCCGTAGGGTTCTTTTCCCCCTCTGGGTTGGATTTATTGTATGGGTTTTCAATGAGGGCTTTTCTTTCTTTTCCTGCTCTCGCATTTTCTATGGCTATGTACTTTGGATTGTGAGGTTTTGGGTATTTACTGGATGATGTAGAATAAGGATCAAAAAGTAATGAACAATAATAAATTATTTAGTGAATAATGAAAGAGAAAAAAAAAAAA